TCATTAAGGGGAATTGAAGGATTAATGGTATAAAAACCGAGGACCAAATCAAGTATAACGAAGGGTATAAACTGATAACCTCATGAAAGGACACCGGAAAACAGACAGCATTGTAAGGGCAATTTCAGAACATTACTTAATCATTATGAACTTGGGAAAATAATCACAGCTTCATGAGGTAACAAACAGCATCCACTCAGTATGATGCAGCTGGCCAATATCTAGGAAGGGCCATAATAAAGATCGATCTACCAAATTTCTTGTTAGTGTGTCACATTGTTTCTGCTTGCTCCTGCCCCACAGAGCCATCTCTTCCTACCTTAACTCGATCTTTCCTCCCCGGTCCAGTCCCTGCCCACTTACATCCGCGATTCCTCTAACACTTTATGCCAGTTTCAGAATTTCCAGTTCGCGGGCTCTAGCCGCACCCTCTTTACCATGTACATGCAATCCCTTTAGACATCCATCTCCCATCAGGATGATATCAGGGCTCTCCGCTTTTACCTGGGACAAAGAGCTAAACCGACCCCATCCACTACCAGCCTCCTCTGTCTGGCTGAGCTCGTCTTCACCCTGAACAATCTATGTTTTAACTCCTCTCATTTTCTTCAGGTCAGAGGGGCTTGCCACAGGTGCCAGTTATGCCTGTCTCTTTGTGGGGCATGTGGAACATTCCTTATTCCAGTCCTATTCTGGACCCCACTCAAAACTCTTTCATCGGTGTATCAATGATATCATTGGTGCTGCTTCCCTCTCTCGTTCAGAATTGGAAAAGTTTAATCAATTTCACTTCCAATTTCCATCCCACACTCATTTGCACCTGGTCCATCTATGACTCCCCCTTTCTCTTCCTCGACATCTGTTTCCATTTCCAGGGATAGGCTGGCTACCAATATCTACTATAAACCCACAATTCCCACAGTTACCTTAAGTATACATCCTCACATCCTGCTTCCTGTCAAGACTAATTCCATCCTCCAAGTTCCTCCATCTCCATCACATCTGTTCCGATCATGCCAACTTCAACAAGGGAGCCTCTGAAATATCCACCTTCTTCCTCAACCAAGGATTTCCCAGTACCATTGTTGATAGGGCCCTCAGCTGGGTTCAACCCATCTCCTGCACTTTGGCCCTCACCCCTTTGCTTCCCTCCCACAACAGCAACACGATCTCCCTTGTCCTTACCTACCATCCCAGCATCCACATCCAGAGGATCATTAGCTGCCATTTCCACCACCTCCAGCGAGATGCCACCAACAGACATATATTCCCATCCTCTCCCTTTTCAGCATTCCGCAGGGCCAGTTCACTCCCAACACTCCCCCACAGCCCATGGCACCTTCCCCTGCAACCGCAGAAGGTGTAATACCTGTCCATTTACTTCCTCCCTCCTCAATATCAAAGGGCCCAAACACACCTTCCAGGTGAAGCAGGGTTTTACCTACACATCACACAATCTAGTCGACTGCATTCACTGCACACAATGTGGTCTCCTCCACACTGAGACTACAAAGTATAGACTGGGTGACCACTTTGCAGAACACCTACATTCTGTCTGCAAAAAAGACCCTGGGCTTCCAGTTGCCTGCCACTTCAACACACCATCCTGTTCCCTGGCCAACATCTCTGTTTCAGGTATGCTGCAGTGTTCCAGTGAAGCTCAGCGCAAGCTGGAAGAACAGCACTTCATCTTCCACTTGGGGACCTTGCAGCTTTCTGGACTCAATATTGAGTTCAACAACTTTAAGGCTTGAGCTCTCCTATGTCCTTACCCCAAACCCCACACACCACAGGCCTTGTTATCACATAGTCTGCTATTACACACAACCCATCGTTAGCCACTAAGAGTCCCTATTAATAGCTATTCACCCTCCTAGCCAGATCACTATCTATTCCTTTGTCTGTCCAACCATTCTTCTCTCTCTTTGGGCTCCGTCTCCAACTATCATTAACTCCTTATCCCACCCCCACCCAATATTCTGCATATAAGCCAACATTTTCTTAGCCAGCATCAGTTCTGAGGAATTTCTCTCCACAGGTGCTGCCAGACCTGCTGAGCTTTTCCAACAATTTCTGATTTTAGTCCAAACAAACAAAGTCAGTGGGCAATAGAAGAGCAGATATGTATATAATTCACTGAGGTGTGTAAAAACAATAAGAAGATGATTATATTTGGGGATATCAACCCCCACCCCTCCAACATTAACTGAGATAGTCATAGTGGTAAAGGGTTTAAGGGAGGTAGGTTTCTTGAAACATATTCAGGAGAGCTTTTTATATCAACATATAAAAAGGTCCATCAAACGGCAGTGCAGTGCTGGGCCTAATTTTGAGGAATGATGCTGGACAGATGTTTGAGGCGGGAGTGGGAGAGCATTCTAATGATAGCGACCACAATACAATATATTTTAAGCTTCTTATAGAAAAGGAAAAAGATGGTCTGCAAAACAAAAAAGGTTTTGGCTTGGGCAAAAGCAGGTTTTATTAAAATAAGGCAGGATCTGGCCAAAGAAGACGAGGAAGATCTAATTCTGGGTAAGTGGATGGATTCAAAATGGAATTGCCAAAAGTATAGGCCTAAACGTTCTCTTGAGGACAAAATATAGGAGCAACGAGCCCAGAGAAGCCCAGATGTCTAGGAATATTCAGGACTGAATAAGAAAGAAAAGAGAGGCTTTTAACAGGTACAAAGGGAGCAAATCATTGGATGCCCTTGTGAAGTTTAGAAATTGCAGGGGGAAACTTAAGAAAGAAATTAGGAGGGCAAAGAGGAGGCAGCAAAAGCACTAGTGGATAAGATTAGGCAGAATCTCAAGATATTCTACAAGTATATCAAGAGGAAGAGGATAACCAAGAAAGAGCAGAGCCCATTGGGGACCAAGGGAGCCATCAGTGTGTGCATCTAGAACTGGTAGGGCGTCAAACAAGTGCATCACATTTATCTTCATACTGGAAACAGAGGATGTAGGTATAAAATTCAGTGAGAGGGACTGAGATTCAGTTTGACATGGATAGTGAGGTGTTGGAGGTTTGGTGGGCTTGAAGGTAGACAAATCCCCAGGTCCAAATGAGTTGTATCCCAGGCTGCTGTGAGAGACAAGGGGCGAAACTACTGAGCTCTGACCCAAATTTTTATTGATTCTCTGGCCTCAGGGGAGATCCCAGAGGACAGCAGGACAGCTAATGTGGATTCACTTTTTAAGAAGGGCGGAAGAGTAAAACCAGGGAATTACACACAGGTGGGTCTCATATCAGTGACAGGGCAATTATTGGAGAAAATTTTCAAGGAAATAATTAATCTCCACTTGGAGGGAGAAGGTTTGACCAGGGATAGTCAGCACGGCTTTGTCAGAGGGAGGTTAGGTCTAATAAATTTGCTTGAACTTTTTTGAAAAGGTGTGTAGATGAGGGTAGTGAGTTAATGCAGTTTATTTGGATTTCAGCAAAGCCTTTCATAAGGTCCCACAATAAAGAAGGTAAAAGCACATAGGATCCTTGGTAACGTGGCAAATTGGATCCAAAACTGGCTTTGTGGTAAAAGACAGAGGATAGTAGTAGAAGGCTGTCTGTATGACTGGAGGCCATTGACTGTAGCATACCAGAGTGTTGGGTTCTTTATTGTTTGTGATTTATAATCATAATATTGAAGATAAAGGGGGAACATGATAAGCAAGTTTGCGCATGAGATGAAGTTTGGCTGGTAGTCGACAGTGAGGAAGGAGGTCTTAGGTTATGTGTGGATATAGATGGATTGCTCAGATGGGCAGATCAATGACAGATGGAATTTAACACTGATAAGTGTGAAATGACACACTTTGGAAGAAGTAACAAGACAAAGAACTACTCACTGAATGATTGGACATTAGGAAGCTCAGAAGAACACAGGGATCTTGGGTGCTTGTCCACAGATCCCTCAAGGTAGCAGGACAAGTTAACAGAGTGGTTAGGTAGTCACACAGGACACTTGCCTTTATCAGTCATGGCATAGATTAAAACAGCACGGAGGTTATGTAGAAACTGTACAGGACTTTGATGAAGCCACAGCTGGAGTACTGTGTGCAGTTCTGGTCACCACACTATAGGAAGGATGCGATTGCATTGGAGAGATGTGCAGAGGAGATTCACCAGGATCTTGCCTGGGATAAAGCAATTTAGCTATGAAGGGAGACTGGATAAGGTCAGAGATAGTAGGAACTGCCGATGCTGGAGAATCTGAGATAACAAGGTGCAGAGCTGAATGAACACAGCTGACCAAGCAGCATTTGAGGAGCAGGAAAGCTGACGTTTCGGGTCTGGATCCTTCTTCAGAAAATCCTGGATAAGCTCAGTTGTTTTCTTCAGAGCAGAGAAGACCGAGAGGGGACCTGGTGGAGGTGTATAAGATTATGACGGGTGTAGACAGGGTGGATAGAAAATAGCTATTCCTCTTAGTTGAAGGGCCAACGACAAGGAGGATAATTTTAAAGTGAAAAGGAGGAGGGTTTAGAGAGAATTTGGGGAAAAAGATTTTCACCTAGATGGTGATGGGAATCTGGAATACATTGCGGGGGGATAGAGGATGAATTGAGGCAGGAAACCTCACAACCTCTAAAAAGTACCTGGATAAGCACCTGAAATGTTATAACATTCAAATCTATGTGCCAAGTGCTGGAAAGTGGAACAAGTGTAGATTTAGTTGTCAGTACTGAATTGATAGGCCAAAAGGCCTCCTGCACTTATGATTCCACATATTTGTGTTAGTTGAATCCAGGAAACTTTCCAAGTCTGGTGGAGGTCAAGTCTGTGAAAATTTGCATTGATTTTGGGGAAGGAGATTGCAACCAAGTACACAAAATCACTTGTATTCATACCCATTGCAAAAATTAGTTAGTTCCAACCAGGCATTATTTGGTATGAGTTTATAATGGCTATTTAGTACTGTAAAAATATATTTTATTGTTCTTTCACAAGAACGAGTTCAGGTAATTTCTAGTAAATATGTCTAAAACTAGTAAGATTACCTTAATAATTCAGTTTCTCCAGAATATGCCAAAATTTCCAGTGACCCAAAACGAAACCATGATTTAGCTACACGAAGAACTATGGCACCTTGAAGAACACAATAAACGTTAATCACACTGTTTCAGTTTTAATTTTATGAAAATATTTAATTTTCCCTGAATAATAGAAGTTACACAGAATGCATACCTTTTTCATTCTTCACACTCCCGTTATAGAATTGATCCCTCTTTATGTCATCATTGCTCACAACCAGGCTGTAGAAAAGTGTTATCATAAAGTAAATACTAGATTATCTTAACAATTTATGACTAAGCTGGGGAAAACAGTAATCAAATAAAAACAAATAACCAAACAATACTACTGTCAAAATTTGAAAAGGCAACACCGATAAGAAAAAGGAACACATATCTTATAGTATAGATAAAAATATGTATTTCAATCTTCAAATATAGTAATAATTCAAGCTGCAGCAAGGGAGGAGAATGGAAGATACGTTTGTGGTGTCATCAACACATGAGCTTGTAGAGAAGGATGTGATAAGTGACACTTGGATAATGATCTAATTAGGCGTGGCCATGTGGATGAGAATCATGTTTGTCAAACTTGGTAGAATTTTTTGGCAATGTTACTACAAAATTCATAAAGAGGATTTGATGACAATAGTATACTTTGATTTTCAGAAGGTTTTTCATAAGGTCCCCCGTAGGACATTGTTTAGCAAAATTAAAGCACATAGGAGAGGAGGTAGTGTGCTGGTGTGAATTGAGGATTGGCTAACAGAGAGAAAACAGAGAAAAGGAATGTGAAAGCTGGTGAATGGTAGGTGAGCAAAGGGAGGATCCTATGATAGTTCCAGAAGGGAGCAACACCTTTTGGAAGATGTGAGCAGAGTCAAAGGAAAAGTTGTTCAAGAACAAGTGCAGCCAAAGAAAGAAGGTGGTGCTTGATGGAAATGGTTAAGCCAATTTTCAAGGAAGAAGTAGGGAATTGGCAGACTACCTTATTAAGCAAAGAAATGTAAGATTGATTTTTATGGTGAAAAACGAGTGGTTAGGATTGGGAAACTAGAAATGATTAAACTGGCAGAGGTTGTCAGAAAAGTAGTGTATGCAGTTAAAGGAGACTGGACAAGAGGTGCAAAAATGGTCAAAATAGAATAAGTTCTGAGGGGGAGGAATCAACTTGAAACAGTAGGGTATACTATTGTGAATATTTACAGATAATAAGTATTTTATGTAGACATAAAAAACACATTGAGATGTGTGCAAGAGCATTTTTGGATACAGCAAAAAAAAATCAAATGAAAACAAAAATAATCAGTGGGGTGTGTATTTTCTGGAGTGGCTAACTGAAATAAAGCTCTCACTACAAACGTGGACTTAAATACAGTTGGCTTTAGAATATAACACCTTTGTATATCTATACTTTCTAATCTCTTACCATTTAAAAAATACTCTAAATATCTGCTCCTCGTACCAAAGTGGATAACTTCACATTTTTCCACATTATATTCAATCTACCATGTTCTTGTCCAGTCACTATGTCTGTCCACATTCTCCTGAAGCCACTTTATATCTTTCTCACAACACACATTCCTGTTTAGCTTTGTATCATCCACAAATTTAGAAATACTACACTTCATCTCCACATCCAAATCACTGATTCACGTGCATAATTCTCAAAGTGGCCAGGCAAGTTGTCCGAAGAAGGGTCCAGACCCGAAACGTCAGCTTTCCTGCTCCTCTGATGCTGCCTGGCCTGCTGTGTTCTTCCAGCTCCACACCTTGTTATCTCAGACTCCAGCATTGGCATTTCCTACTACCCTTCGTTAAGAGGCTTATATGTTTCTTGGGTTTATAAATAAAGACACAGAGTTTAAAAGCAAGAAAGTAAAATCATTGGTCAGACCACATTTGGAGTACTGTGTTCAGTTCTGGGCACCTTATTTAAGAAAGGTTGTTAAAGCTCTGGAGAGAATGCAAAGAAAATTTGCTAGAATGAAGGATTTTAGATACAAAGAAAGATTAGAGAAATTGGACTTATTCTCCTTGCAGCAGAGAATATTAATGCATGACCTTATTTAGGCATTCAAAATTATTAATAATTTTGACAGAGTAAAGAAGAATATTCTGATTCCACTGGTTGGTATGTCTATAACTAGGGGTTGCAATTTCAAGATTGTCAGCAAGAAAACTAGAGGAGTCAGATAAGGAGAAACTTCTTTACTCAGAGGGTTGTAAGGATTTGGAATGTGCCTGAGAGAGAGTTGGGGGCAGATTTTATTTGAGATTTCAATGAAGAGCTGAATATATATTTAAAAGTGATTAATTTAGAGGGCTACAGAGATAGGGCTGGAGAATGGGACCAACTGGGTAGCTCTTTCAGGAGTCAGTACAGACACTATAGGTCAAATGGCTTCTTTTGGTATTGTAAAATTCTATGATTCTATGACATATATAGTGAACAACTGGGGCACAAATACTGATCCCTTGCAGTACTCCACTAGTTGTATCCTTCTAATGTGAAAATGAGCCATTTATTCCTTTTCTCTGTTTTCTCTCTGTTAGCCAATCCTCAATTCACAACAACACATTACCTCCTCTCCGAAGTGCTTTAATTTTGCTAAACAATGTCCTACAGGGGACCTTGTGAAAAACCTTCTGAAAATCAAAGTATACTATTGTCATCAAATCCCCTTTATGAATTTTGTAGTAACATTGCCAAAAAATTCTACCAAGTTTGACAAACATGATTCTCATCCATATGACCACGCCTAATTAGATCATTATCCAAGTGTCACTTATCACATCCTAAGTGAAATGGGAATCCGATACATGGGTCTACTATGCAAGAAATTGGGGCTGGAGAAGACTTCTGGCAAGATATAGGCATGAGGACAAGGGTTGCTGGACAGAGCATTCTTATGGCAATGCAAGGCAATAAGCCTGGATTTCAGGAAAAGGTCAGACCAATGGTTCGAGGAGCATTGAACATAACAGATATCTGTGTCAAAAATGGATTTAAAAGACAAACGCTAGAATTTAAGTTGGAATCCTTGAGGCTGAGAATACGGGCAATGAACCATGAGCAGAAATACAGAAAATAATGAAGGAGAACAACATAAAAGAGACAAATGGAAATTGTATAGACAAGAGATGCAGAACAAGGTGGATATTCCTGAAAAGAAGCGATAGTGAATCAAGTTGTAAAGCAAATACAAAATGCTCCAGAAACTGGAAATTTAAATTAATATGAAAAACTCTGGAAAAATATTCAGCACATTCAGGAAGCATCTAAGGAGAAAGAAACATTTATTACTTCAAGTCAATGTCTTTTCTTTAAAATTAGACTAGTTAGAAATCCTAACAAGCATTTTAAGCACAGTATTAGAATTCATACCTGGCTGCTCTGGTGGTAGGGATCCCAAGATAATTCAGGGCCTCACTACAAAGAAACTCTCTTACTGAAGAGCGGAGCACAGCACGCCCATCACCATCTCTGGCAAACAGAAATCCAATCAAGACATTGCTCAAATGCAAAGTTACATTTGATGAATGACAATGTATTATAGTTACCGAGAATAGGGAGTTTTCCCAGAACCTTTCAGCTGAAGCTCCCATCTTATACCATGCCTGTAGAAAGATGGACAAATTAATTCATAAAACTTCATGATTTCTGATTATTCCATGTCAAATATTTTTAAAAGTTACTATAGATTTATTTAATTGAAGTCGTACTAATTCTACTATAGATTTCTTTTAAAAATTACGTGTTATTTACAGATATCAAATATTTGGAAAACAGAGATCCATTCTAGTCTTCCAACTAGTACTGCAGTTTTGTAACATAACATCAATTTTCAAATTTACTGTTATGTAAATACTCCACACTTTTTACAACACAATGAACATAATCTTGTCCTTTTTAGATTAAATGTGGAAGCAGACCTTTAGGCAGAGGCACAGTAGCTGGACGGCAAGAAAGGCTTTCTCATGCAACTATGGGAACTACTTTTCTTGAGGGATGGTAACAAATTCCTACTATCTCTGTAAGAAAAAGCCACCCTGACTGACAAAGGCAGCCTGGATAGAAGTAGCTGTAGAGGTCTGAGATAACAAAGTATAGAGCTGGATGAACACAGCAGGCCAAGCAGCATCATAGGAGCAGAAAGGCTGACGTTTCGGGCCTAGACCCTTCATCAGAAATGGGGGAAGGGAAGGGGGTTCTGAAATAAATTGGGATAGAGGGGGAGGCGGATAGAAGATGGATAAAGGAGAAGATAGGTGGAGAGGAAACAGACAGGTCAAAGAGGTGGGGATGGAGCCAGTAAAGGTGAGTGTAGGTGGGGAGGTAGGGAGGAGATAGGTCACTCCAGGGAGGATGGACAGGTCAAGGGGGCGGGATGAGGTTAGTAGGTAGGCTTCAAAATCTCCCCTCCCCCAACCGCATCCCAAAACCAGCCCAGCTCGGCCCCACCTCCCTAACCTGTTCTTCCCCTCACCTATCCCCTCCTCCCACCTCAAGCCACACCCTCATTTCCAACCTACTAACCTCATCCCGCCCCCTTGACCTGTCCGTCCTCCCTGGACTGACCTATCTCCTCCCTACCTCCCCACCTACACCCACCTTTACTGGCTCCATCCCCGCCTCTTTGACCTGTCTGTTTCCTCTCCACCTATCTTCTCCTCTATCCATCTTCTATCCGCCTCCCCCTCTCTCTCCCTATTTATTTCAGAACCCCCTTCCCGTCCCCCATTTCTGAAGAAGGGTCTAGGCCCGAAACGTCAGCCTTCCTGCTCCTATGATGCTGCTTGGCCTGCTGTGGTCGTCCAGCTCTACACCTTGTTATCTCAGATTTTCCAGCATCTGCAGTTCCTACTATCTCTGATACAATTTTAACCCCACCACGAAGCCTCTTCTAAGGATGCCTACCCTGAAGAAGTTACCCTCCTCCCTCCGGACAAACCTCAGGGGATCTCTCTCCCACTGCAACTCTCTCGTAATCTCTTCGGCCTTGAAACTGCTCGACCATGTCCTGAAGCAAACCAGGTACTACAGCCACATCACCTTTCTTAGTACCTGCCAACAGAACCAGATCATCCCCAGTGGACTACAGTCCACATTCAGGCCTTCCCAATTTGGCCCCAACCGTGGCAATGTCTACATTCATAGCATTGAGATCCTTCAGAAGCGTTTCCCCCTGCGTTTCCTGAAACACACACTCGCAGCAATGTGCCGGCATCTCCGGGCACTACAATCAAGCCTACCCCAGCTCAGAGCCTCCCTCTCCCAGACCTGCAAAGGACCTCACCTGTTTTTTATTCTTCGTAGGATCGACAACCTGAACTCACAATTCTACTCAGCTTTATTGGACACTAAAAACCGTAAGTACAGTAAACTTACTGGTGCCTACCACCCAAAACGGGCTTCCTCCACCTCCCAAATCCCCAGCCGTACCCAGGACCTTCCCCACAATGTGTCCGTCGCCATTCGCCATGAGGCCACTGTCGGAGAACCCACAGATGACGTCACATCCGCCACTGCCGGGTACCCCACTTCCGGGACAGCGAACACCATTGCTGCAGATGCCACCGCCTCCATTTCCGAGGCCAACACCACAGACACTGAAGACACACCTACCGTCACCGCTGCTGCCGCTGCCTACCCTGCTCCACCCATCACCGACGCGGACGCAATTCTGCCCACCACCGACGCAACTCCACCCACCGCCAACGCCGACGCAACTCCGCCCACAGCCGACGCCGCTCCGCCCACCACCGCCGCCGCACCGCCACCCACAGCTGATGCGACGTCGCTCCGCCCACCACCTCCACAGCCAGCAGCTCCAGAGGAGACAGCAACACTCAGCCCTGCCGAGTCTTCACCATCCCCCCAGACCTCCCCCTTACTGAGGACAAACGGTCAGTCCTCAGTAAAGGGCTCACCTTTGTCCCCCTCCACTCACACATCAACGAATACCGGTCACGTTTGGACATTGAGCAGTTTTTCCGCCGCCTCCGCCTCCACGCTTACTTCTTCAACCGTGAACCTAACCCTCCCTCTACTGACCCCTTCTCCTGCCTCCAACACACCCCCTCCTCCTGGACACCACCCCAAGGC